TGTTGCTCCGTAGCCGCGCGAGGAGGCGGGGCCGCGGCGGGCCGAGCCGCGCCGGCTTTCTTAAAGGGACCGTGCACCTCCTGCTGCATCATCGTGGGGGTGGCAGAGCGCCCAGCTGCTCCCGGGGGAGCCGGCCTCCGGGAAGGATGCTGGGCCGTGCTCCGGCAGCCGGGCGGTCCTCCCGGGGTGACAGCCGCCCGCAGCACCGCAGCTCCCACCGCAGGGGCGCCCTCTGTCCCCACGACCCCGGGGTCCCGGCCGGACTCTCGCTGAGACTCAGGCTCCGTTTGTCCATCCGAAAAATGGGACCTCGACCCGCGTCATCACTCGCCCTCTCCCCGACTCCACATACATCCCGCGGTCCCCGAGGGGCGTCAGGTGGTGGCAGGAGGGGGAGGGACCCCCAACACCCTAGGACCAGAGACTTGGGTCACAACGGGGACAGCGACTAAGCAGGTGATGTCAAGAGATTGGGGATCCCGGCTGCGAAGGCGCTGAGCAGAGCGAAAGGGGTGGGGAGGGATCCCTGGAGGGGGGGGCTTTGACGTTGGGGCTTTGAGGATGAATAGGAGTGTGCTGGGGAGGGAACACCAGGCTGAGAGCATGGCACAAGCACAGGCCGCGGGCTCTGGGGGTAGCCGGGCTGTCTGGGTGGGAGTGGAGGATGCATTCGAGGCTCCAGTCTTCTTATTCTTTGAGACAGGCCCAGGTCGGAGGGCAGTGGTGTCATCAAAACTTGCTGCCACCTTGAAGCCCTTGGCTTTGAACCATCCTCCTGCATGGCTGGGACCACAGATGCCACCACACCAGGCTCATCTTTTCCCCTCCTTTCTGTAGAGATGGGGTCTTGCTGTGTTGCCCAGGCTGGTCTCGAACTCCCGGCCTCAAGTGATCCTCCCGCCTCGGCCTCCCAGAGTGCTGGGTGACAGGCAGGAGCCGCCACACCCGGTCTCCAGTTTCCTGACTGGCCCGGAGGTCCGGCCTCTTCCCCCACCCCACGACCTGGGCCCTCAAACCGTTCCTCCGACCCAGACCCCCTCCCCGAAGAGGCCTGGATCCACCCAGAGAGGCCCAAAGCAAAACTCGCCCCGAGTCTGCAACTCTCTCCGCTGCCCTCTTTTCCTAAAAACAGAGACTTTTATTGCTTTTGGTCCACAGTTGTCATTTCACATTATCTCATAGTGAAGGTCCCTGGAGGTGGGTCCCGTGCAGTACTTGGCGGGGGGGGACACAGGGGAAGGACGGAGTGATGAAGCCTCAGTTTCCCCATGGGGCCCCCTGGTGAGGACAGGGCTCTTGGCCTGAGGGTCCCAGGAAAATCCAGTCACTCATGAGCCTAAAATACTTTTTTTTTTTTGGAGTCAGGGTCTTGCTCTGTGGCCCAGGGTGGAGCATGGTGGTGCAATCATGGCTCGCTGCAGCCTCAACCTCCTGGGCTCAAGCAATCCTCCAGCCTCAGCCTCCCAAGTAGCTGGGGCTACCGGTGCACACCACCACGCCTGGCTCATTCTTAAATTTTTTTGTAGAGACGGGGTCTTGCTATGTTGCCCAGGTTGGTCTCGAACCCCTGGGCTCAGGCAACCCTCCGCCTTGGCCTCCCAAAGTGCTGGGATTAGAGCTGCCACTCCCAGCCCTAAGAACTTTAGGACCGTGGCCTGCCCTTGTCCAACCGGAAAAAAAAAAGGTATTTTTCTTACAAAGACTTCCTGAAACTGCGGTGGGGAGAGAAACCACCAACTGATCCCCCGACAAAAGGGAAGGAGAAGAAACCGGAAGCCTTTCGTGGCCGGCCGGCTCCCTTCCTGGGTCCTGCGCCCACAGCCTACCCAAGCCCCAGCAGGGGGTGGGGGAACGCCCACTAGATCCGCCCTTCCCTCCCCTCCCCTCCCCTCCCCTCCCCGCAGAGG